TAATGGCGTCATCGGCCGTGTGCCAGTATGTGATGGGGTGACCTTCCTGCATTTGTCCACGGTGTCAAGGCCCTGGGGACCCTGGAACCCGGCTTCCCAGCCACGCACCACGTCGGTGATTTCCAGACGCAGTGCCCCCGTCATCAGTGGCAGTGGAAATGCTGTGTTTGTGGCATCCAGCAGCCCTGTGGCTTCGCCCCCCCAGGGCCCAGCTAGTGTTTTGGTTACTTCGTGTTTGGTGGGCACACGCAGCCGGGGCTCTGCGTTGGGTGGCTCAGCTTCTGGTTCTGCTACTGCAGGCCCGCAGGATGGGCAGTGCCAGGCTGGCATCACTTAAGGGGCCCACAGCCCGACCTCTGACACACAGGTGCTCCGGCCACCGGCCGGGCCCACTCCTCTCCACGGGGTCCCCCTTCCCCCTTTCCCTCAAGCGGGGTTCCGTCTGTTCCTGGGCTTCCCTGGTTTTCGCTGACCCCTGCGGTCCTCAGCTGAGGCTCTGCTGTAAGTGACGGAGGGTGCTGATTGCTCGAAGCTGTAGCAGGTGACTCCCCACCTCCGGGGCTCCCACCAGTGAGGCGCAGGCAGGGGCGGCCTGGCTTCCTTCTGGTTTTCAGCGGGGAGCTGCCGCTCACAGCGCAGAGCTCAGAGGCCTCCCCAGCCCCCAGTGGCAGCCCTCACCTCCCGCCTTCCCTCTCGGTGAGTAGCACCCTGCCTCTCCTTGCCCCTGTCCTACTGTCCCCGTGTCCTCAGCTGCGCGCTCCCACGAGGCCTTCCGAAGCCCAGACTGGCACTTCTGTGCACTCCAGTGGTCTCGGGCACCAGGCAGCGGGCTAGAAACTCCCAGGGGGCAAAGGCGACTGGGCCGCTTGTAGGGTGACTCATAAAGCTCCCTCCTCACCCACACACGTGAGTTGGGCCCGGGGGGTTGGGGACTGTGCCGCAAAGGCAGGAGAAGCAGGTTCCGGGGACAGGTGATGGGAGAGGCCGGGGATGGAGGATGAATCCCGATGAGTCCTGGGATCTGCGGCCCCACGGGAAGGAGACTTTGGGGCAGTAACAGGTAGAGACAAGCAAGCCTGGCTCTGACAGGTGTGTGGCCAAGGAACGGCGGCCCGTCCTCCAGTCCGACGCACGGCGGCCTCCGCTCAGTGACGGCTCTGCGCCAGCTCGGTGTGGACAGTGAGGTCCACGAGGGACGAGCTGGAGAGGAAGATAGCAGAATAGTCCGCACAGCCCGAGCCTTCTGTGTGTGTGTGTGTGAGTGTGTGCGCGGTTGTGTGCAAAGAAGCCTTCGGATACGATGTATCCCAGAGAGTTAACGGTGGCTACACTAGCAGAGGTTCTTATTTTGTTTAAATGTCTGGGCTTCTTTTTAATATACATTGTGAAAATACTTCTTTGTGACCAGAAAAAAAAAGCAAAGCTATTTTCAGTGACTCATCAGTGGACACGGGTTTGTCCTTTCAAACTCGCGCGCCCTCTTTGGTTCTAAATTAGCTTGCTGTGCTGACAGGTCGGGAGGGACCGCAGAGGTCAGGAAACGTCGCCTGCCGCTGGCCCGGGGGAGCCTGTCCCCTGCCCCCTGCCCGGCTCGTTGGCCATTTCCTTGAGGGAGGTCCTGAGCCCCTCCCCCGCTTTAGTTTCACATCCTCCACCTGCCCCGAAGCCTGTGGGCACCGGAGCCCCTGCGTGCGCCCAGGCAAGGGTGGACACATAGCTGGTAGCTGGTGCAGGGCCCTCTCCCAGGGTAGGGGGAGAGAGCGGCAGTTGAAGGGAATTTGAGAGATGGCTCCATTTTCACATGGCAAACTGGAAGGAGGGCAAAGCAAGCGCCACATTACTGCCTCACTTAGTCTGGGGCCTGGGGCTGGGGCCGTGAGAGGCTGAGGCTGTGGACCCCTTTGGCCTGGCGTTGGCACCTGAAGGACAGGAGAGGGCACGGGAACCGTGCTGGGCACGCACGACTCCAGACTCCTTCCCAGTGGCCTCTCACCTTGGGGAATGAGCAGCTCTCTTCCTCTTCCTCCGGGCCCCCACACCCTGCTTTCCAGCTTCCAGGGCCTGTGGGTGGCCCTTCCTGCCCTGGGGCAGCGCTCCCTCTGCTCCGCCTGTCTGCTTGCTCTCCGGCCTCCCAGGGTCAGCAGCCCTGTCCCCACCCATGTCACCTCCTCGTGAGCCCGTCTACGAGCTCCCCAGCGCCCGGGCCACAGCTGCTCCTTCCGTAAGGAACCAGGCTGGTGCTCCTGGCACAGGGAGGAAGAGGGCTACGGCTGCCGCGGCCCCTTGTGTCACAGACATCCCCTCCCAGCGCTGCCCTTGGCTGTGCCCACCTCAGAGTAGGCTGGGTCATCGTCACCCTGTGCAGAGAAGAAGGAACTGAGGCCGGGAGGGAAGGTCACTTCTCCCCGAGGAGATGGCGACTTTGACTTCCAGTCATTCACTGTGTCATAGGCGCCCAGTCCCAGGCCAAACCCAGCAGCCAGGGAGGCTCTGGGCAGTTCTGGGGTTGACAGTGCTTAAAGTTGAGCGGTTCCTGGTTCTCAGTAGGTTTTGTTGTGTGTGGATTTTTCCTCCTCTCGGGTACAGGAAGAAAATGAAAGCAAGATTGGAGGCTGTGACTAGTGGGATAAAATATCAGGAAAGTATTCTGACAAAAATGAAAGAAAGATGGGTTGAAACTTTCCAGCTGTCTGTAGTGTCTTCAAATGGTGGGATTAGCGAGAGATATATTTTCCTTGTTTTTGTACGGGGATCAAACTCAGGACCTTGCACTTGCCAGGCAGGCAGTGTCACCACTGAGCTAAATTCCCAGTCCAGGGAGGGATATATTTGGTTTTCACTCTTCAGCTTTCCAAATTTTCTGAGCCAGAGCACCTGTATCACGGAAAAAAGGTAAACCTGCACTCAAAGCTAGCCAGGGTTACAAAGCTGCAGACAGTGGCTTCGGAATGTAAGTACTAGCTTTTGCTTCCAGTGGTAGAGGGACCCGGATGCAAGTTCCTCTTTTGAGTGAATTTTGTAAGCAGGTGTAGGAGGGGCAGAGTGATGAGCTCCTCCTCCTCCTTCTCCTCCTCTCCCTTAAAGCTGACAAGTTAGTTAGTGTTATGACAGCTCTTCAAATAAAGTTTCACCCTCAGCAAAATATTTAAGTAGCTTAGGAAAATCTAAAGGAAAGATGAAAGTTTCATCTCCCATGGGTGGTCGTGCTCAGGTCTTTCCAGAAATGCTTTGCTAGTGACCAGCAGCGCGGGTGGTGCCTGTCTCACACATTTGTGTAAAAAGCTCTGCAAGGGAGACTTCCCGGCCTCGCGTTTCAGCCTCGTACGTCTGGTGACCTCGTTTCTGTCTGTTTCAGGTCCGCCTTCCTCTTTCTCTTGGCTACCTGTGGCTTACCCAGTGGGTGTACCAACTGCCGGGTGTTTAGGTTGTTTCCTTTTCTTTCTGTTCTGAAAGAAAGGCTTGCCGCATGGATTGCCACGGGGTCTCTATGCTCCTTTGGGAGGACCGAGGACCGAGGATTCCGGAGGGCTCTCGGAGGTGCTGAGCTGTGTAGGTGCTGACAGCGGCTTCACCCTCCGGCAGGGTCCCTGCTCCCTGAGGCCAGGGCCTTCACTGCGGGTCGCACCCTCCGGCTTCTCCTAGCCTTTCTTCCTCCCCAGGGGGCTTCTTTGTTTGGGAAATTTGCTCTGATATTATCTGATTAATGTTCGACTTCCTCGTGGGTTTTCTGATTTGTGTCTCAAAAGCTAGTCCCCTGAACTGTAGTGAAATTAAGTCGAGGTCTTCTAAATTCAGCCGGGTGTCGTTCTGGGTCCCCAAGAGCTGCTTTTCCGTTTGCTGGTTGAATTTCCTATCGTGAGACAGAGGTTTTCGGGTTCCCTGTGCTGACCACTCGTGGTGCTGACAGATGCACCCCGAAGTGCTGCACACCCCAGGATGTCTCCGAACCGTGGGTGACCGGGGCAGCGCTCGGGGTTCCTGTGCTTAGGAAGAAAGGGGCAGGGCACAACTTCTCTGAAGAAAATGCATTTCCCACTCACCTGGAAATATTTCGAAATCATTACGAAAAAGCCGGAGAAAGACTCAGTGCTGATTGGATGGAGGGGCCGGTTCCGGGGGCGGGGGCGGCCGCTGGGTCGAGTTGGGGAGCTGTGGAGGGAGGAGCACAAGTGCACAGGGGCAGGGGAACCAGACCGGGAACGAAACCACTCGGAGGTGGGAGCGGACATGTGGGGGCTGAGGTCGCAGATGGTTCCGGTTTTCCTCTCAGCTGTTGGGTAGTCACCGACTTCCCTACAAAAACGTGTAACTTTTACTGTAAAACTCATCAAATGTAGTATTTTTAAAGACAGATGCCAGGGTTGTCCCTGGCAGACCGAGCTGAGGTCTGGTTTATGCCGGGTCGTGCGGGGCAGGGTTGGGCTGCTGGGTCCGCTCCCATTCGGCTCTGCACGAAGCTCTCCAGGAACCTCGGGTCAGTTTCCAAGCATTTTCCCCCCTCTTTTTCTTTTCTTTTCTTTCAATTCATTTTCATAACTCTTATTTGGATCTGATTTCAAATTTATTAAAGTCACAAATCAGGTAAGGGATATCTAGGAACCCTTTACCCGGACCATTTCTTCGTGTTTGGTGGGCACACGCAGCCGGGGCTCTGCGTTGGGTGGCTCAGCTTCTGGTTCTGCTACTGCAGGCCCGCAGGATGGGCAGTGCCAGGCTGGCATCACTTAAGGGGCCCACAGCCCGACCTCTGACACACAGGTGCTCCGGCCACCGGCCGGGCCCACTCCTCTCCACGGGGTCCCCCTTCCCCCTTTCCCTCAAGCGGGGTTCCGTCTGTTCCTGGGCTTCCCTGGTTTTCGCTGACCCCTGCGGTCCTCAGCTGAGGCTCTGCTGTAAGTGATGGAGGGTGCTGATTGCTCGAAGCTGTAGCAGGTGACTCCCCACCTCCGGGGCTCCCACCAGTGAGGCGCAGGCAGGGGCGGCCTGGCTTCCTTCTGGTTTTCAGCGGGGAGCTGCCGCTCACAGCGCAGAGCTCAGAGGCCTCCCCAGCCCCCAGTGGCAGCCCTCACCTCCCGCCTTCCCTCTCGGTGAGTAGCACCCTGCCTCTCCTTGCCCCTGTCCTACTGTCCCCGTGTCCTCAGCTGCGCGCTCCCACGAGGCCTTCCGAAGCCCAGACTGGCACTTCTGTGCACTCCAGTGGTCTCGGGCACCAGGCAGCGGGCTAGAAACTCCCAGGGGGCAAAGGCGACTGGGCCACTTGTAGGGTGACTCATAAAGCTCCCTCCTCACCCACACATGTGAGTTGGGCCCGGGGGGTTGGGGACTGTGCCGCAAAGGCAGGAGAAGCAGGTTCCGGGGACAGGTGATGGGAGAGGCCGGGGATGGAGGATGAATCCCGATGAGTCCTGGGATCTGCGGCCCCACGGGAAGGAGACTTTGGGGCAGTAACAGGTAGAGACAAGCAAGCCTGGCTCTGACAGGTGTGTGGCCAAGGAACGGCGGCCCGTCCTCCAGTCCGACGCACGGCGGCCTCCGCTCAGTGACGGCTCTGCGCCAGCTCGGTGTGGACAGTGAGGTCCACGAGGGACGAGCTGGAGAGGAAGATAGCAGAATAGTCCGCACAGCCCGAGCCTTCTGTGTGTGTGTGTGCGAGTGTGTGCGCGGTTGTGTGCAAAGAAGCCTTCGGATACGATGTATCCCAGAGAGTTAACGGTGGCTACACTAGCAGAGGTTCTTATTTTGTTTAAATGTCTGGGCTTCTTTTTAATATACATTGTGAAAATACTTCTTTGTGACCAGAAAAAAAAAGCAAAGCTATTTTCAGTGATTCATCAGTGGACACGGGTTTGTCCTTTCAAACTCGCGCGCCCTCTTTGGTTCTAAATTAGCTTGCTGTGCTGACAGGTCGGGAGGGACCGCAGAGGTCAGGAAACGTCGCCTGCTGCTGGCCCGGGGGAGCCTGTCCCCTGCCCCCTGCCCGGCTCGTTGGCCATTTCCTTGCGGGAGGTCCTGAGCCCCTCCCCCCCTTTAGTTTCACATCCTCCACCTGCCCCGAAGCCTGTGGGCACCAGAGCCCCTGCGTGCACCCAGGCAAGGGTGGACACATAGCTGGTAGCTGGTGCAGGGCCCTCTCCCAGGGTAGGGGGAGAGAGCGGCAGTTGAAGGGAATTTGAGAGATGGCTCCATTTTCACATGGCAAACTGGAAGGAGGGCAAAGCAAGTGCCACACTCCTGCCTCACTTAGTCTGGGGCCTGGGGCTGGGGCCGTGAGAGGCTGAGGCTGTGGACCCCTTTGGCCTGGCGTTGGCACCTGAAGGACAGGAGAGGGCACGGGAACCGTGCTGGGCACGCACGACTCCAGACTCCTTCCCAGTGGCCTCTCACCTTGGGGAATGAGCAGCTCTCTTCCTCTTCCTCCGGGCCCCCACACCCTGCTTTCCAGCTTCCAGGGCCTGTGGGTGGCCCTTCCTGCCCTGGGGCAGCGCTCCCTCTGCTCCGCCTGTCTGCTTGCTCTCCGGCCTCCCAGGGTCAGCAGCCCTGTCCCCACCCATGTCACCTCCTCGTGAGCCCGTCTACGAGCTCCCCAGCGCCCGGGCCACAGCTGCTCCTTCCGTAAGGAACCAGGCTGGTGCTCCTGGCACAGGGAGGAAGAGGGCTACGGCTGCCGCGGCCCCTTGTGTCACAGACATCCCCTCCCAGCGCTGCCCTTGGCTGTGCCCACCTCAGAGTAGGCTGGGTCATCGTCACCCTGTGCAGAGAAGAAGGAACTGAGGCCGGGAGGGAAGGTCACTTCTCCCCGAGGAGATGGCGACTTTGACTTCCAGTCATTCACTGTGTCATAGGCGCCCAGTCCCAGGCCAAACCCAGCAGCCAGGGAGGCTCTGGGCAGTTCTGGGGTTGACAGTGCTTAAAGTTGAGCGGTTCCTGGTTCTCAGTAGGTTTTGTTGTGTGTGGATTTTTCCTCCTCTCGGGTACAGGAAGAAAATGAAAGCAAGATTGGAGGCTGTGACTAGTGGGATAAAATATCAGGAAAGTATTCTGACAAAAATGAAAGAAAGATGGGTTGAAACTTTCCAGCTGTCTGTAGTGTCTTCAAATGGTGGGATTAGCGAGAGATATATTTTCCTTGTTTTTGTACGGGGATCAAACTCAGGACCTTGCACTTGCCAGGCAGGCAGTGTCACCACTGAGCTAAATTCCCAGTCCAGGGAGGGATATATTTGGTTTTCACTCTTCAGCTTTCCAAATTTTCTGAGCCAGAGCACCTGTATCACGGAAAAAAGGTAAACCTGCACTCAAAGCTAGCCAGGGTTACAAAGCTGCAGACAGTGGCTTCGGAATGTAAGTACTAGCTTTTGCTTCCAGTGGTAGAGGGACCCGGATGCAAGTTCCTCTTTTGAGTGAATTTTGTAAGCAGGTGTAGGAGGGGCAGAGTGATGAGCTCCTCCTCCTCCTTCTCCTCCTCTCCCTTAAAGCTGACAAGTTAGTTAGTGTTATGACAGCTCTTCAAATAAAGTTTCACCCTCAGCAAAATATTTAAGTAGCTTAGGAAAATCTAAAGGAAAGATGAAAGTTTCATCTCCCATGGGTGGTCGTGCTCAGGTCTTTCCAGAAATGCTTTGCTAGTGACCAGCAGCGCGGGTGGTGCCTGTCTCACACATTTGTGTAAAAAGCTCTGCAAGGGAGACTTCCCGGCCTCGCGTTTCAGCCTCGTACGTCTGGTGACCTCGTTTCTGTCTGTTTCAGGTCCGCCTTCCTCTTTCTCTTGGCTACCTGTGGCTTACCCAGTGGGTGTACCAACTGCCGGGTGTTTAGGTTGTTTCCTTTTCTTTCTGTTCTGAAAGAAAGGCTTGCCGCATGGATTGCCACGGGGTCTCTATGCTCCTTTGGGAGGACCGAGGACCGAGGATTCCGGAGGGCTCTCGGAGGTGCTGAGCTGACAGCGGCTTCACCCTCCGGCAGGGTCCCTGCTCCCTGAGGCCAGGGCCTTCACTGCCGTCGCACCCTCCGGCTTCTCCTAGCCTTTCTTCCTCCCCAGGGGGCTTCTTTGTTTGGGAAATTTGCTCTGATATTATCTGATTAATGTTCGACTTCCTCGTGGGTTTTCTGATTTGTGTCTCAAAAGCTAGTCCCCTGAACTGTAGTGAAATTAAGTCGAGGTCTTCTAAATTCAGCCGGGTGTCGTTCTGGGTCCCCAAGAGCTGCTTTTCCGTTTGCTGGTTGAATTTCCTATCGTGAGACAGAGGTTTTCGGGTTCCCTGTGCTGACCACTCGTGGTGCTGACAGATGCACCCCGAAGTGCTGCACACCCCAGGATGTCTCCGAACCGTGGGTGACCGGGGCAGCGCTCGGGGTTCCTGTGCTTAGGAAGAAAGGGGCAGGGCACAACTTCTCTGAAGAAAATGCATTTCCCACTCACCTGGAAATATTTCGAAATCATTACGAAAAAGCCGGAGAAAGACTCAGTGCTGATTGGATGGAGGGGCCGGTTCCGGGGGCGGGGGCGGCCGCTGGGTCGAGTTGGGGAGCTGTGGAGGGAGGAGCACAAGTGCACAGGGGCAGGGGAACCAGACCGGGAACGAAACCACTCGGAGGTGGGAGCGGACATGTGGGGGCTGAGGTCGCAGATGGTTCCGGTTTTCCTCTCAGCTGTTGGGTAGTCACCGACTTCCCTACAAAAACGTGTAACTTTTACTGTAAAACTCATCAAATGTAGTATTTTTAAAGACAGATGCCAGGGTTGTCCCTGGCAGACCGAGCTGAGGTCTGGTTTATGCCGGGTCGTGCGGGGCAGGGTTGGGCTGCTGGGTCCGCTCCCATTCGGCTCTGCACGAAGCTCTCCAGGAACCTCGGGTCAGTTTCCAAGCATTCCCCCCCCTCTTTTTCTTTTCTTTTCTTTCAATTCATTTTCATAACTCTTATTTGGATCTGATTTCAAATTTATTAAAGTCACAAATCAGGTAAGGGATATCTAGGAACCCTTTACCCGGACCATTATTTGAATTTTCATTTTGCTCCTTTGGCTTTATGGCTTTATTCCTCTCTCTGTCTCTGTGTATGTGTGTGAATGTGGGTACATGTCCCCCTACCGCGCGCACACACACACCAAGTTAGCAAAATTAGGAAATGTTGCCAAATTATCCAGTTCATAGTCCATATGAGGAATCATCATAAAATACAACGTCTAAAGTAAAAATTTCATTACAGTACAACACGTGTTGTCTTCCCCCTTTCCCTCAAGCGGGGTTCCGTCTGTTCCTGGGCTTCCCTGGTTTTCGCTGACCCCTGCGGTCCTCAGCTGAGGCTCTGCTGTAAGTGATGGAGGGTGCTGATTGCTCGAAGCTGTAGCAGGTGACTCCCCACCTCCGTACACGTGTTGCCATGAATCCTCCTCCAAATGCTACTGCCTTTGTTCTGAACACACATCCCATCATTCCCTGCCACTTTCTGAAGCAGTTCTGCAGCGTTGTTTCCTGAAGTCTGTTCGTGGCTGTCTGACTGTCCCGAATCCATTAAAATGTGGTGATTTCTGTCAAACGAAAACACGACACTGTGTCCTCATCCGCCTTACTCACTGGACCATGAATCCTCCTCCAAATGCTACTGCCTTTGTTCTGAACACACATCCCATCATTCCCTGCCACTTTCTGAAGCAGTTCTGCAGCGTTGTTTCCTGAAGTCTGTTCGTGGCTGTCTGACTGTCCCGAATCCATTAAAATGTGGTGATTTCTGTCAAACGAAAACACGACACTGTGTCCTCATCCGCCTTACTCACTGGATCTGGGAACATGCAACTTCTGGCTCCTCCCCAAGGTCAAGCTGACCCGAGTCGATCCAGGACCTGTAGGAATCCACCGTTGATTCCTTAGGAAGAGCCCACAGCTTACCCATCGGTTCACGGCTCAGTGGGCATTTGGGGCATTCCAGGTCGGGGCTACTGCAAATAGAGCTGGTGTACAGCCCCTCTGGGGCCCGTGCTTGCATTTTTCTTAGGTGAGTGCTCAGGGGTGGGCCTGGTGGGCCGCAGGGAAAGTGGACGTGTGCGTCACTGCTTAGAGAAGAGCGCTGTCCTCCAAAGTGGCCGTAG